TCCTGTGCTTCTGAGCTGCCAAATGAAGAATCTCTGACATGAAACATCTCAGTGTTTTTTTTTATCAGCCAGAGCTAGCTGGGGAATTTGACTGAAGTTTGCAAATCATTTCAGCATCCTCCTAAACAGCATTTTTTAGCCCCTGCATATTTTGTTCAGCTCTACCCCACCTCTGCTTCTCAGTTCTTTTTCTTTGGCCATCACACCAGGTTTCCAGCTTTTTTCCTCCCCTCCCTTTCTATTTATTTTATCACTCCCCAAAGGAACAGAAGGGGTTTGTCACACTCAGCTATTTCTTCCCAGCCATGCTGTGGCGAGTCTTTTATTCTCCTGACAGCATCATTCCTCCCCTGGTGCTGCTTTCCCACCTGCTGAGACTGGATCTGCAGTAGGTGGCTGACTCCTCGTCAGAGCCAAAGCCAAGTTGTGAGTCAGGTTGCAGAGCAGAGTAGCCCGTCATTTCCATGTACCCATCTCTCACGCTCAGAGGAATGCAGCCTCCTACATAGAGCCTGGGAATTGTTAACACATTTCCTGAAGCTTTACAACTGTGAGTCATTGCTCAAAGTAACTCTTCCAAGCTGCAAATTCAGGGTCAAATCCTCATCTGGTGTATGTGCCCCCTCCTCCCCAGTTCCCACTGAAATGAAAGGCACCGTGCTTTCATTTAAATATTTGAAACTTTGATCTTTTTGGTATTTTCCAAGATCTCTCAGCAGTGCCTTCTAAGCCACATTTGTCCCATACTGTCCAGTGGGGAATTGGACTCCCAGATGTAATATTCAGCACTTGCAATATGCTCTACAAAACTGGGTGCTCTCTCTTGGGTGTCTCTGTGGTGCCTGCATCTCCTATATCTGAGCAGCTCTCCGTCATTTTCCTCTTCAGAGCCACAGCCCCTCTGTGTAGAAGAGGAACACTACTACCCCCATTTGCCATGAGACGTGGAGGTTGCTGTCAACATCGCATTTTGGAGGGCATCCTAAGGCTACTTCCCAAACCATGTTCACTCTCCATGCAGACTATGAGCATGGAAAGGTTTTCATGCCCCAGACACGGCTAGGGAAGACACAACCCCCAGAGCAGAGATGGGTTAGTGTGGTATTATGAGCTGGTCGTGAGGATTATAGATAGCCAGTGCTCCCAATGCTGTTTTTGAGAGCTGTACAGACATCACCGCAGAGACTGATGACATTTTGATCCTGGGATACAAAGGGAACACAGTTACTCCACATCCTTTGCTTTACAAGGAAATCTTTAATGCAGTGGGCCAAAAGCAGCATCTTTCATCAGATTTTTCAAAGTACCTCCCAAAGGTAATGCAAAGTGCCATGCTGCTGTGGCAACATATCCAGATGACATTAAAACTGTCAGTCGCTCGGGGGTCTCCAGAGGTGCTAAACTGGTGTTGGCCTGTGCTGGTTCCAACACCAATAAACAGTTTGGTTGCCTTTCCACTTCAGCTGGATAAAGCTCTCGTCGCTTTCTGCCCTACTAAACTCTTGTGTAACATGGTTGTGCAAGGTAGAACATCTCCCATTCCGATCACACGAGCTACAGCAGAAGTACACCAGGTGAAGTACCACATACAGAAAATCTGACTGGTAACATGCAAGGAAACTATGGCATCCCATCAATAAAAATACAAGATACTGTTGTCTGTGCAGGTTCCAAAACAAATAACATTATCTTAAAGTGCAAGTCACTGTTATAACGGATCTGTTTATGTACACAAATGCCTTAGCTGAGCAGCTCTGTGTTTAGAAGCTTGTATTCAATTCCTTCTGGGAAACAAACCCAAAAGATGTGGAGTATCGGACAATTTAAGTTAAACACCAATGAACCCATGAAAAATCTATATTACCAACTCCAGGCTACTCAGGCTTTTAGAGAATTAAATAATTTTTCTAGGTTCTGATGGGTCTCAGGACAAGGCTGGGCATCCCTGGGCTGGAATGACTGCAATTTGTCTGTACCATCGCACTGCCCGGTTGCCTTGGGCCGTTGGAGCCTGAGAGTCTGCATACTTTCTTTTTGTCTGGTGTAGGAGTACCTTCTGCAGCATTGCTCCTGTGGAGCTGCCAGCGTCTTCCTCAATTCGTACCAGGACGTGAAGATGTTTTTTGCTGGGAGGAGCAGACCTCACAGCGTCTTGGTTCAGACTGGAAACCCTTCTGATCTTTCCATCATCCCAGAAATAGGAGCGAACACTGAAAAGCTGAGCAGCTGCAATGGTGAGTTCAAATACCTCTATCCTGCCTTCCTGCTTGCCATCAGTTGGTGAAATAAGCTGACCAGCAACTTCCTTTTCCCTGGGAAAGACAGATGGGAACAGAGCAAGGTGTTAGTGGAACTAAACCTTAACTGGAAAGCTAAGGGATGCGTTTTAAAAATGCTTTGTCTGCATCTAGGGTTTTAACACTTGCTGCTTCACGTGTGTGAAGCAGGACTTTTTGCTCTGCAGCTGTTGGCTACAAAAATTAGGACAAATGCGTTATAAAATGGATTTCTCGTTTGGAAACTTAGCATGCCAGAATGGGTCCATTAGTGCAGCCCCTCCATGGGGCTTTAAAATCCTCCCAGCCAAGGTAGGATTTGATCTAAGATGGAAAGCCTTATGCCTGTTGTTAGTCTCCTACCTTCTCAAGCAGGCACAGAACACATTCCTGGAGGATGACTTATTCTATAGACTAAGTGGAAATAAGCCCCAGCTGCAAAGCTTGGATCCAGAGACCAACTTTTCCAGAAGGCTGAGAAAGACTGGGCTCAGCCTACTGGTGATAAAGCCAGCGGAAAAGTCTGGATCCAATGTTAGATGTGAACCAGCCCACTAAGCGAGGCCGATGAGTTTATTTCAAACCTTGGACTTCAGCCTGCCTCTAATACCTGGTGAAATGCAAAACATAACACACCTCCTAGCAGGATTGAGTCAGAGTGTAAATGGCCTCTGGGATCTCTAATGCTGAGGCTCAGAAATGCTCTTTCCTGGCAGTTTCAGAGCAGGCCTGGAAGGAAAATAAGACCATGAGGAAGCCATTAGAAAGTCCTGCTGTGATCAGACACTTTATTGGAGCATTTACCTTCTTCCCACTGCAGTGTGGCATGAAGACACATGGGGTCTCATCTTATCATTAAGTCCTTAGTGTTCTCATCCTGTCTGGAGCCGCAGCTTGCTGGCAGCACTGCCCAGAGGCTGCCCTAGCAGGACAGTGCTGAGAAATGTGAGCAAGTCCTTGCGTTTCATTGCAGGAAGTGAGAGATACCCGGAATCAGGAAACAGCCAGCCGATGGTGGGGCTCAGGAAGTCGTCAAACAATAGGAACAACAAGGAGAATGAGTTCAGAGAAGCTGGTAGTATGGCTGAGGGACAGGCTTTTCCATCAAAGGACCCTGCAGTGAGAAAGGTGAGTGACAAGCTTGGAGCCAGACTCCAAGTGGGAGCTGTGGGAGAAGCAGGGAGTTTTGCTCAGGCGGATCAGAATGGGGTACCGGGGGAACAAGCCAGCCCTGTCTGCTACTGAATGGGGCTGGGGCAGTGAGGGCCAGGGTGCTCTGCCTCTCTGCTCCCAGCGTTAAATGAAGTCAGTGGCTACGTCTTTATGCCAAGAAAGGCACAAACAGAGCACTGGTGCAGGGGAGAGCAGCACTGCAGACAGCAGCATAGGCTTTAGCCCTCACTAACTCCAGATAACTCAATGTGTGAACTCTGTCATAAGTATCTTCACTACTGCTGCTAGCGAGATTAAACCAAGCACACATTCATTACCACATATAAAAATTATAGTGGGTCAACCCTTAGCTGGCAATACTTATTACCAGACTGGCAGCATATCAGTGTAATGAGCTCCAGTCCCCAAAGCGTGTTTCAGGGAAACTGTGTCGCTGAAGTCCAAGGGAGCCGGGGCGAATGCTTTTCCTCTCCCTTTCTTTCCCACTGTTTGTGGCTGCCTCAGCACTTTCAGGTTCCGGTGGGGATCAGAAGTGCTGAAATGCCAGGGCAGAGGCTCTAATCAGAGTATTCCCAGCCCGACAGGAAAGAGGAAAGAGTAGGTCTCTCACGGGAAAGATCTTCTTACGAAATTTCCACCCCAAAGTTGTAAATAGGTTGCAAACACTTCAATGAACTTCAGAAACCAAATCAAGGCTGAATCCTGAAAGGTGCTCTGTGCTCTGGCTTGTGTCCAGCCAACTTCTGGAGTATGAGCATTATTTTAAGCACATGGAAGCCCTGATGACTTCACAGGACTGCAGAGTCAAGATCCACACGCTTTAAACTGAATCTTTGAGCTCTTTTGTTACACCACACCTTAGTATTGTCACTTAGTATTGCATTTTGTACCCTGAGCATGAAATGCCCCATTTACTTCTACAGTGCAGGTACTGTATGGGAATCCTGGTACACCAGTCCCCAGGCTACTAGGTGCTATACACATGAACTGGCAGTCTAAATACAGAAGAGAGGCAAGAGGTGGAGGAGGAAAGAAGGGATTATCACACACGTGAGGGACTGAATTGTAGAGAGATAAAGGACTTGACCAAGGCTATGGGTGGACTCCAGGGCAGAGCTGAGAACAGAACCCAGTCTGTTTCCAGCACTGCGAGATCGTCTCGCTGCCTTGTTATTTATTAATGTATTTGCCTTTTTTTTTAGGGTCTGGATGTCAGCAAGAACATCTCGGTATGTACTGCCTTTGCAGAATATATTTAACTTGTACCTGCATTATCATGGACCAATGCTGTAAAGAACAGCATTATAGGTGAACAAAAGAGGTTCACTGACCCCCAAAGTTTACTATCAAAGTAACAGACACACATGTATTACGACTTACTGCATGTGGTCTGATGTTCTCCCACGCCCACTGCAGACAACAGCTAGCTAGCCTTCAGGAGCAGGCAACTGCTCAGGCTGTTGTGGTATTAGCAGTGCTTGTTTTTCTGGGACAACACCAGCACAATGAGGGACTAACTGCTGAGGCCTCCAAAACCCTTCCACAGCATACATTAATCCCAGTAGTAAACACTACTGATATTTCCATGAGTAAACAGTCTCACTTACGGGCAATTAACTCAATAGCACCGAAACCAGTGTTGCAGTTTTCAGCTGAGCCCATGACCTCATCTGAAGTTTTGAACTGAAAACTTAGCAGAGCCCCAAGAAGAATTACTGCAATAGGCTCTTCCCCGGGCTGGTGCGTGCGGCTGGGCAGCTGCCAGGTTGTGCTACCAAGGTGGCCACAACTCATGGAGTAATGGCTCTGCTGGTGGCACAGTGGGAAGGCACCTCGGGACAGGGCAGAACAATGCCCCGAACGTGACAATGGTTTGAGAACTATTTCCCCATTAAGCTAGTCCTGGGGCATGATCTTTTTTGTTCTGTTCCCAAGGTTTTCCAACCATTACTTTAGGAAATTTAAAACAATGTAGCAAAAAAACATGAAATTTTTTGATGCGTGGCTCCTTTTCAGTTCACTAGTCCAGATGAGTTCAGCCCGGAGAGAACAAACATTAGGGAGGGCCTCATGAGACTCCCTGACCTCCTGATAATCTCTATTAGCATTTCAAATGTAAGTGCCTAATAGCTGTGGCTTGCAGACGTGACAGGGAAACAAAGGCTTGATCTCTTCTAATTCATGGTCCACTAAAGTCACCACCTTGAAAAAGGCTGATACCAATGCACCTGGCCTAATAGAAAGGAGAAGGGAATCAAGCTGGTTTTTTGGGTTGTTTTTGTTGTAAAGGCCCCCCTGGGTGCATGTGAGTAGGTAGGAAACCAAACCGATCTTTTCCTTTAGTGCAGTATAACAATAAGGTAAAACGTGCCTGTAGGCACCTACTCAGCACTCACCAGTGAAGTGCCCTCACTCTCTGAAACCTTAAGTCAGAAAGAATAGCAGGGTCCTAGACACGGAAACGTTACCAAACAAAATACAAAAAGGATGGTATTACTAACAATTGATCCACGCTGTCTCATTGTGTCCTATACAGGTACAGGCTGGCCACCGGGCATCATTGCAGGGTGTTAAAAATTCTTTTGTGGGACCTGACTCTGTCCAAAATAAAGAAGCTCCCCTCTTCCTACCACCCTGGAGTACCCCAAAGTATCATACGTTGGCCAGATGAGGTTCTGCCAGCAACTAGCCTCCTTCAAGTTGTGGGTTCTTTTTGCTCCTTAGGGTGAGAGCCATGCTTGGGGGAGAATGAGAGATCTTATGAGGAAGACACGGCTGAGAAACCAGAACAAGCTGGGGCTGTCCTCCGCTGCTCTGAAGAGGTCCTGCCCACAATTGTACAGGTAAGGCAGAGCTGTGGGAGATTTTCACTTAGTGTTCGGAGGAGATGGTGAGAGATTTACCTCTGGTTGTTGCTGGCCGGAGAAGACCCCTCCTTACCTTCTCTCCATTGCATATGGTGGTCCTGGCCAGCACAGCCATTTGCTTCCTTAGTGCCCAGGTGCTCTAAGATCTCAACTGGATAATGTTACCTATATGAAAATAATGGAAACATTAGGGTCCCTAAAAGAAGGTGCTTACCCCCCCAACAGGACAAGGGGATGTTGACAATTAGCCAGAGACATTCTATAGCCTAATTATTTGTCTTTCTGCTCCCTCCTAAGCATTACAGTCGAGGTTAATGCTCTCTATCCACCTTCACACCTTTCATCCAGTGGAACAGTAACCTTTATTGCATCCGATGTATGGTAGGATGGGACAGTCAGGATCAGCTGGAAGGTTCCCTGTCAGAGGAAGGGGAGATGAAGTTTGCTGAGTGTGTGCTCATGGGTAGAACCTGCTTGTTGCTGTAGATGAACGTCTGGGTCAAGCACGTGGTCTCATTTCTAGTAAGAGCTCCGTGCTGGTCCCTTGGGCAAGTTTGTCTACCAGGTTAGTTACAGCCTGGCCTCTGAGCTATACTGTGTGGTGCATCTCTATCTGAGGCGACGACAGTGCTGCCAGCTACCCCTTGCACAGATATTCCCTGTGCGCTTGCCAAGTCCTCCCAGCTGGTCTGGTGAATTTGGGGTGTTTGTGTATATAATCAGGTAACAGGAAGAGCCTGGGTATCTTACTCACCCAAAGCAGGAGCATTACATGGAGCTGCGCACCTCCCTATGTTTTTTCAGCTGAGGTCTCAGTAACCTTGAGCGGAACAGCTCAAATGTGCTTAGGCCCTCCTCAGGTTTTAGAGGGGGTGATGGTGGGGAAACAGCGGTTGTTTAAGCACTCAGGAATGTCCCATTGTTCCCCTTAGACAGCCTGTACCTACCTTACAAAATGCATAAGGGAACTGGGAATCTTGTAATTACAGATGGAAAAAAACCCCTCTGTAGTTCATGGAGTGATTTTTCCAGCTGGGAAAAGCTTGGTTCGGGCCCAAGCACACGTAACCGGCGAGCTTCCTCCTATTGTTTGGGAAACTGAAAGAAGCACAAAGCAGAAAGAGACCAAACAGTTCCATCTAAAAGAGATGGTGAACCAGCTGGGGAAAAAATACACACTCTTGTGAACCTTCCCTTTAAACCTGAGTAGAACCAGGACTTTATTTGGGCTTCAGAGAAGTCCTGTCTCTGTATCCTCCCTCTTGGCCCTTTCTCTGCAGCACTGAGGACACTGCCAGTGCTCCCTGCGTGAGAATTGCAGGCTAGCTCCTCAGCTGGCTAAATCGATGTGCTTCCAACAAAGGGCCAGCCCAATAGCTCCTAGCTTTTGCTACTTTCACACGTATACTGGACAACTATTACTGTCGTGGAAATGCTGTACAACAAGAAGCCAAATGGACGATTTTTTTACCTGGCTGTAACTGGGCAGCCCCAGAGATGTTGTATGCTGATTTTTCCAGGCTGCTTTCTGTAGCTGATGACTGGCCTTCTCTTTTCTTTCACTAACTTTCTTCTCCCATGTATCTACATAAAACCCTTGCCTCTATTCATGCCCCTTATCTCCCTCCATTTCCTCTTCTCCTGCTTCCTAGCACTTATTCCCCAGCCCTATCTGTATTTGCTCTTGCTCTTTTTACCCCACACCCTGCAATAGCAATGCACTGACACTGGGCTTTTCACTGGTGCCAGGAAAAGCTGGGCACCTTGCTCCAATGGCATTTTGGATACGTAGTTGCCCTCAGGCTCCTTTGAAATAAAAAGTTAGGCTTAGCGGATCAATGACAGCCCTGCAAATGCTGCTGGACAGAAAGCCAGGCCCTTCCTACAGCAGTACCAGAATGGTAAAGCAAAAAAAGTCTTGCTTGTCTACAGCTCTTGGCAAAGCAAATGTCAAAGCCCTGATACTCTCAGCATTTAAAGCCACTGTCTTTGTTATAATTTATGAAACATGTTTGTCCTGGCTCCTGGTCCTGTTTGTACATGCAGGCATGTGGAATTGGCTGGCTTTTGCTTACCTGGGCTTCCTTGGGCATAGAGACATCTCCCAAGGTCTTGAACTGGAACAGGTTGGAGCCTGGTACTCTGTATTAACATACGGATCTGAAGGAAGCAGAGATTTGTTGCTTTTGACACCCAGTCCCACTTGAGTCATTTGGGCAATTAGAGAAAGTCTCTTTGTTTTTGTTTTTGTAACTAGGTCAAAGCAAATCCCCTTTCATGCTCCCACTCTGCGTGTGATGAATGATCTGCTCCAGGGCAGTTGTTTTGTTTTTCTTTTCTGTCTTTTTTTTCCTAACATCCACAAAAGAATTCTCATAGTAGAGAGAGAACTTGGTTCTTCCAGCAGAAGAGAGGGGGGCCTGCCAAGGTAAACATACTGGCACAAGACGCAGTGGTTTGTCATACATTGTTCTAAACAGGCTCAGGTTTTCATTTCGTTTTCTTTTTCCTGCTAGTACGTTTACTCCCGCAAAGCAACGTCTATTTTGTGCAAAGGGCCAGAACAGGCTGATGAATGACTTGATCATGGTGTTATGAACTTAAGTAGCACATGGACCTGGATCTGACCCACAGCAGGAAAAACAGATTTCTTCCCCAAATCATTGCAAAATGATCCCTCCACAAAGAGCAAGGAACTTACTTCCAGCTCAAATGACCCCCAAGACAAGTGACTAGTTTCCACTGTGACTAGTTTTAGTGACAGAAAACTGTTCTCAAGTGATACTGGAGCATCATAAGGTTAAATACTTGCCCTTGTTAAACAATTACAGTAAGGAGAGAATCCAGCCTGGCCTGTGAAAGCTGGGCTGCAAATTCTGCAGGAGCCTACCTTGATCAGTTTATTGCCTGTATGTTCCCACTCCATTTGACACTATAAAATGTGTGAAGTTGTGTCTGGCTAGAATGGTGTTACAAACAATCCCCAAAAATCCAGGGTCAAGGAGGAGCACATTGGCACCTTCTATCGTTTTTCCTTACTTTTCCTACTTGAGAACAAACAGACAAGACGTACAGTCTCCTGCTACTTGCCATGACTGCTGCTGGGAAGCAGACTGGCCCTGGCAGAGATACAGAGGCAGCCATCTCAATGAAAGCAGTTGTGCTCAGGAGCTTTTCTGATGCCATCCCCAACCCCTTTCCAGGGCAGGGTCTAATTTGAGAAGCTTTGTCCTGTGCAGACACATCCACCTGTGTATCTACGGGAGCTGCAGCTTTAATGCAGCTGCGTGGGAATGAGCTAACCTCAATTACGGTATCTTTCATGGCAAGGATGCTAGTTTGAGTTTGACAGCCACCAAAAGCTTGCTGCTGTACGATGACTACTTTGTGGTTAGAGTGAAGTAGGTTAGGAAGGACAGTGCAGTTCTAACATTACAAAAACTCATCTTCATTTTTGGATAGCAAAGGCTGAAAAGGGCCCTAGAGCCTCAGACCCAGGTCTGAACGCTGCTCTTCACATGGGAAATTACTACCAAGGGAGATCTCTGCGCTCAGGGTTGAGAAGGAGCCAAAGAATTAAAGAATAACATCAAGGCAGACGTTTGACCATTCCATTGTAAAAGAATTAAGAGCTGAACACAACAAAAATCGTACAACATTTAGATTAAAAAGAAAACAATTTAGTAGCTGGCAAAATAGAGAGTCTGCATCACATCAGTCAGGACTTTGAGTTGAAAAATTTTTCAAATCAAAGATTTGAAGTAAATAGCTATTATTATTATTTGAAATAAATAGCTATTAACTATTTATTTGCTGTAAATAGCTTTGAAATAGTGCATTAAAAAAAACCTACAGCTTTTCTTTCTTAAACAGCAGCTATTTTTAAAAAGTGTTCCAAAAGGTTTGTCTTTCATAAGTCTTGGAGGCCTGAGCTAACTAAGCCATTACAACCAAACAGGATGCATTACACTTATTTCAATTGTATGTAATAAACAACAAACAAAAAATTAAGCTGGAGACAGTCCACAGCAGCTAGCTTAGCGTTGTTCTTCAAAAGGTCTAATTTCCTACTTACTCCTTCAGGCCAGAATTTTTAACTTCCCTGTGACACTCACCCACCAGTCTCTCCCCTTCGCTTCCAGCTAGGCAGAAAATACTGGTTGCTCTCAACAGAATGATGTTTGTGTCCATCCATTATATTGTGACTCCATGCCAAGTGCTGCATTTTGTAGCTCTCTTTTTTGGATGCTGCCACAAATATTTGGACAGCATCTGTTTTGAAATTTCAGACTGGAGAGGGGGGAAGCTGCTTTGGGTGCAGCTTGGATGTTGGGTACATATGCACAGCATATTAATGCTAAAAACACAACCATGCGTTCTGACTGCTGTCAACTTTAATTGTATTTTTCCATTTGTTAAGGCCAGATATTATGTCTTCAGAGCTGAGGAAAACTGAGAGGAACTCCATGATTGTTCTGGGGCAAAATACAAAGAATGAAAACATATGGCCTTTCTGATAACCCAAGTCAAATGGAACAAGGTAAAATAAGTAAAGCAGCATGTGTTTCTTTGTGGGTTGGGGGGCGGGGGGGGTGTTTGCCTCTTCTTAGCACAGAAAGGAGACAGTCTTGTTCCTTTATCCAGACACGCTCCAACATGCAAAGACAGGAACAGGTCTGATTTTTGAAGTTCGAATTATATGGATTTATGCCAGCTGAGGACTGGCCCATGTACCTTCATTTTAACAGTCCCCCACTTGTTTTTTTTTAAAAACCCCAAAATTTAAAGGCAGCTGTAGTCATATAGGTTACATCATGCAGCCTTTTTACAAAAAGTACAGCAGCAAATTCATTTATCTGCAGTCAGTCAAAAGACTCCCAAATAATAGGCCAACCAGATGTCTTAGGAAAGAGACAATCTGCCCATAATCAAGACTAAAAGAGAACCAGGCTCAGCCTCATCTTCCACCTTCCCAACTCAGCGCACGGGTTAAATGCAGAGAAACCCTTTCTAATCTCTCACATTCACTGCATGTTTCTGTTTCAGAAAGGCAAAGTGGGAACACCAATGGACACAAAACCAAGAACCCCGTGGTTACTTTGTGCAACCTGCATCCTACAGTTGTCAACAGAGCAACTCCGATATGATTAGGGAAGGGGGAGGTTGAGAAGGGTCTGTGGACAGATGCGTGCTCAGCTATGTACGGCTTCGCTCCTGAATTACAAAAGTCCAGCCACAGATGAAAATTGCTGTTAGCATCTTGGCAACATAATCAACAGAGAATTTTAAGTAAGATTTGGAAATTCTTCCTCCTCTCTGGGTTAGGAACAGAATTACCTGAAACACTGAGGCTTTTAAATTATCATTGCTTTCTGGGGACCTTCTCCAGCTGAAATAAACTTCAGCTTTATGGGAACAGCAGCATCTAGAAGAGTGCCAGGGACTCCTTGCCTGGCGCAGAAGTGGCTGTTGGAAGGACAGCCTCCTCCCTCTGGGGGGGCTGAGTTGCAGTCTCTGCTTGTTCCCAACACAGCTCCTCCTTTCAGAGCAGCATCTGGCCAGCTGTGCCATTTTACTGGAATCCAACAGGAAAAGCAAGTCAGTAAAGCCAAGCCTTCCTACAAGGCCACTCCTGAATCCACCACTAGCTTCTAATCTTGTGGGTCTGCTCCTTCTGCAGAGGCCCCTCAACTCCAATGCTACCCTACGCAGAAGTTGGCATCGTGCAGGTTCACTGCAGAGACCAGAGCGAGGGGCACTGCGGGAATCAGCCTTTCGAGAGACTGGAGGGTGCACCCGAGGCAACACCTCAGCTTCACCAGGCAGCCCCGCTCTTGTGCTATCAATCTTTTGGCGGGGAACCAGGCTTGAATTCCTACTTTTAAGTTACAAGTTAAGTCCTCTGGCTGTGCAGGTGGGGTGGTCATGCTGCTGTATGGCTCAGCCTGTGCTCTCTCTGCTGGGAAAAAGCAAGAGGGAGAGCAGAGCTGCAAGGAAGAGTTATTCAAATACATACATCCTTTATAAGCTGCTGCTTTTTTGGGCCACATTAACAACTGTGTAACACTATGGCCATGTTTGGTGGCTGGCTTACTGCCACATGTCCACTGATTCCAGACTCAAGGGACAGGCAGCGCATGCTTCTGAAGGTCTCGTGGTTGCAGTGGTCTCTGCACACCAGCTCTTACTGGTACTAGCACAGTAATTAATGCACATGGAGAAAAGATTCAAATAAACCAACTTTGCCTCTTGTTAAAAGATTATTCTACCCCCTAAATTACAATATAATTGCAAGTCAAACAATTGCTGTTTAAAAAACCCTCCCCAACCCAAACTTGCCTGGGAACCAAGATTTCAGAAGCTGGCAGGAATGGATCAACTTCAGCAGGTTTAGCCTTTCAGTAACAGATGCTTCCCCCTTGCTCACCCAGATCAGCTGGAGCCCTTGGAGTCCTCAAAACCAGAGCAGGATCCTTTCTGAGATTCAAAGCACCCCAGCTATGCTGTCCCAGGGCAGCTGTAGTTTGCAGGGGGGAGCAAAGGCAGCAGCCCAGGCCTGGTTCTCCAAGTACTCAGAAGGGTTGTTACTGTTGTTACTTAGCACCTGAAAAAAAAACCCCAAACCCAATTAAAAAAAAAAGTCCGTGCTGACTCAAAGTTAGCACCCCAAAATAGGTGCTGTGTTTAATGTTTCAGTTGTAGCTGCTGCTGCAGGACTTGGTTATTCACTGTGTATCTTGCTAGCTTCATCCAAAGCTAGAAAGACTTAAAACTTGATTATTCTGTGAATAGTCTGTATATCTCCATAAATACAGGGGACTAAAATCCTGCATTAACTTACACCCTCCATTATCCCTCCAGCTTTACAGAGACTGTAAAGAATGTGAATCAGTGCAACTGAATTTAAAGTGTTTTAAGACGTAGCATTATGAACTGGTATTCCCCACCATCAACCACCTCCATTCACATTGTAGGTTTTGTTTTTTTTTTTTTTTTAAACTAAAATGAACTAGCACTCTTTTTTATTACAGCATTATATGAAATATATTCATGTATTTTCAGAAATAAAATATATTTATAACATGTAACATACTGTATAGTTCTCCACTCCAGGATGCATTGTAATACAAGCATAAGAAATTTAATAAAGGCATCACTATTAGGATAATGGTTTTCAGATATTTTATTAATGAACACCTGGGTTGTAGTATAACAACTTACACACCTTTAAGGTTTCAGGTGAGCATAGCTGGTTAAGAAAGGAATTGTTACCTCCAAGCTTTTAAAGAACTTTAGCTCTGGCAAAGAAGCAAGTTTGTTCTTTTGAGGCTTGTGCTGTTCTTGAAGATCCAGAGAGTGAGGAGAGCCTTTGGAAAGTTCAGATAGGGCCAAGTGTGGATGTTCATTTTGAGCAGCCCTGTGTTAGGTGCTGTGGCGGGGCTCTGCTTCCAAAGCTGCAGAGCAGGCAGACAGGGCAGGGCAGCACACACCATTTCCAGAGGAAAGGGTGAAGGCACTGGGGACAAAGTACGCTGATGCTCAGCATCGGGGTTTCTTTCTGAAAATCTGGGTTCATAAGCAGCACCGCACAACAGCCTCAACTGACAGGTGCCGGCTGGCCTCAGAGCTGCTTTTCCTCAGCTTCTGCTTCATTCACAGCCCACTCTGTGGCATCATCCTGGACAGAGCAGCTTTCCTTCACCTGCAGGAGTCTAAGCCAATGTCTACAGCAACCCACAGCACCAGCTGCATAACCAGGCAGTACACAGTGAAGCTAAAGAGGGTGCTGACACAAGAAGTCACATGCAGTTACTCAAAAGAAGGGAGAAAAGTCAGTGAGACCCAACTAAAGAAAGTAGAGGCCTAGGAAAAAAAAAAAAGCCAGAAATCCGCCTGTGAAGGTAGAAGGAAAAGAGTACATTTCTGCAGGAGGGGAAACTGCAGAACAAAGCAGCAATGAAAGCCACTAACACCCCAGGGGAGAAGGAGAACAGGCTAGGAAGAGGGGGACAATGCACCAGAGGACGAAGCCTCCACGTTGCCTAGCTCTCACCCTGTGCCAGTGCTTCACACAGACAACTCGCATCCCACTGCTGCTCGTGCCCTTCCCCTCCTCCTGCTAGGGACCAAGTAGCAAGCCTTAAGCACAGAAGACTTCCCCCAGAGTGGATAAGGGAATTAAGTTCACTTCTCTGCTCACCCACCTCCGCTTATCACTACATGTGCCCTACGCTAAGCAGCAGGTCCATTACAGCAAGATCCAGCTCTGCACCAGAAGGGATGGCCCCCGCTGGGGAATCTACCTGATCCCAGAGACTACATGCCCAGAGCTCTCTGCCACTTCGGGACAGTTCAAGCAACCCCACGGAGGGCAGCAGGGAGCAGCAGGGCAGGGACGCTCCTCTGCTAGCCCCTTCAGCCTCCACACAGGCATCAACTCTCTAAGCAAATATTTTTGACTTCCTTACTGAGGCACGGGAAGACTCCAGCAGCAGCCAGGAAGGTGTTTAGACCTTGGCTAGCACACACAGTTAAGGGCAGTGCCAGAGCACCCTGCCTGGTGTACTGAAGAGGTGTGGTCTATATTACTCCTGTAATTGCCCAGTTAATTAACATTAGACAGCTGCTAAAGACTTCTCAAAAGGCACATTATGAGTTTACACTCTGCTTTCCCAGACAGAGCTCCACCTGTACCAAGGCCATTTAGTTGCCAGAGGCACTCCCTAAAGGAGGAGGCTCTTTGACCTATCTCCAAGCTGATGATTTCTCCAGCCTGTGATCTCCTTCACCCTCCCACCATACGACTTGGAGGAGTCTTATCTTCTCCTGATTAGATTTTAAAAGCAAGCAAGACTAAGAGCACTGGTTATCCTGGAAGTAGTAGGGAAGAGCAGTTCTGCTAGAAAAATAAAAACATTGTAAGATGATTCCTGCAATTTTTTGTTGGAGTAAGAAAGGAATTAAAAAGCAGTTCCCACCACCTGTTAACACCTTCCAATCACACGGTATTGGCAGAAGCCAATTAAATGGAACAATATCTGCTACCTCAAGCAAGATATTGTTCAGTTCTTTGCTTCCATGTATATAAGAGCTGCTCTTCCCTTTTAAAGGCCCCTAAGCAGCATGATTAAGACTAGTCCCCTACTACAGGGGGAATTTCTAATCAAGCCAGGGCAGGGGGGAAGAAAAAAATATTTTTCCTTCCCCTCAAGTGTACTTGCTCAAGGACTACTCCATCAGCTGTAAGTGTGAGTGCAACCACCAGAGCTCCCCCAGCCTGGGTAGGAAGGGGGGTGGTGGAGTCCCTTTCCCACTCCACCATGAGAAGAGGTTTGCTGGACTGTTTTTTGCCCAGGACCTCAGGAAGCACCACACTGAACTGTTCCTGATGCTCAGGAACAGCAAGTTTTATTTCTCATCTCAAAAAGGTACATCCATGGCACTGTTATGCCAACAGTGGTGTCAAATTAGCTTTAATCTGAGAAGACGACTTTGAAGACTCTTAATTGTCTGCTCTCACATGAAGGTTTAAGATTAATCTTTAAATCAAGTTTGATTTTTTTTTCCTTAAGTTCAAACCAACTAGGCTCTTTGATTTTTTTTTCAGTTGGAATGAAGTTTCCCTGATGTCATCCTCCAGAAAAAAAAAAATCCCACCTGCCCTTTTTTGTTTCCAGAGCAAGAGAGGCAGGTTCACATACAGCATCATTAGGAAGGCCCATTTGTGTAGTGCTTTGCCATCCCTGCCTCTGAGTCCTGCCACATGAGCACAGCCCTGACTTAGTGAGCTCAGGGGCAAGTGGGCAATTCCCAGCTCCTCTGTGAATACCAGCTCTGCATCCCCAAAGGAGAAGCAGCGGCAGGATTTGTTTTTAATTAATTTTGCTGCTTCTACCCTATGTTTGAGAGGAGCCAGGATAACTACTTTTGAAGGCCACCTTAGCCACTGACAGAAATGCAGACACCACCCAGCATCACTCATGTCTCAGTCTGCAGTTTCCCAGCAGCCCAGGCCATGACAAGGGCTCCCTCTCAACAGCAGCAGACAGTTAACACTAATCCCAGAGCAGAGTAATAGCCAGAAAAGTGAGATGGATTCAGACAAACAGCATTTGGAAAGCGCTGTCGCAGCCATCAGGATAATTTTT